TCAAAACCCCAATTTAAACCTCCCGAAGAAGTATCGTGAACTTCTCTAAGTTTAATTTGTACTTCATGCAATTTATCTACATCTGTATGAATCTGACCAGTAACATTATCTATCTTTAAACAACATCTTGTTTTTATTAGTGCACAAACGCCACCTTTGGAGGCCAACAAGTAATCTAGGGCGAACCTATTTTGCATAATCATAGCTGAAGCTTGTTCCTGTTCGGCAGACAATTTTTCAATAGCATCTCCTGTATTATTAAAGGCTTCATCTAGTATATCTGCTAACAAGTTTAATTTATACATTAATTCAATAACCCCCCATGTAGGTACAAAACCTGCAAATAGCCTATCTCCTTCACCAGATTTTACAGTTCTTTCGGTTTTATCTTTTTTGGAACTAATAACCTTTCTTTTATTCCTCACCCTTCCTTCAGGCAAATTTTCATGAAGGGTTAACGCTGGGATAATATTACCTAGATAACAAGTTTCCACCCAATTGCATGGAAGTCTTTTTACCGCCCAACTACCACATAAATAGTATACCCCAAATGGAAGATGAATATCAATAACACGAGAATCTGAGCAGTCAAAAATAGGTTGATTAATATAGGGCAGTAGCATAAAAAGATTGGAAGTTAAAGTTTGAGTATTAAAGTAGGCCCATCTCAAAATAGTGACATTTAAATGTTCATTCTGGTCATAATTATTATCCATGATTTCTACCTCAGAAGTCAAATTTACCCACACATGATTAGTAATCACCGGGATTCTATCCTTGATGGGACATTTTGTCAAAATATCTTCTAATAAGGGTTTCCAACAAAAAGCTTTCAATTTACCAGTACAAGGGGCAGAATTAGTTTCAGACCCACATAGATTATAAAGGACATTGTTTTCAAAAATAACAATAGCATTGCTTATAGGCTTAACAATCTTGTCAGGACTTTTCTGATCCCTGTTAGAAATTACTACTGCTCCACTAGTAATGGCATATGTTAAATGAACCTTAGCAGGTTCCTCAGATTTGGATACTTCATTCTGAATAAATCCAACAAACCCCGTTTTATTTGCTCTTACTCTCTCATAAAGAGATTCCATAGACCATGGCACCCCCACAAAAGGATAACCATAGTTCATGGAATGCGGAGCAAACCCACAAACCCAACAATGATTACTTTTGTTTGACAATTTATACAATTCAGCAGCTGTTTTAACGAAATGATTATCTATCTCCCATGAAGAAAAATCACTTGGGTTCTCGGCCCAAATTACACGTGTATTTAAGAAGAAAGGAGCTAACGTGGTGTAGAGGATAAAATTTTTTAAAAATGTCATAATGACAATCATTAAGGACAATATAAGTTTAACCAGTTTGAGATTCATGAAGAAAAACAGTAGAGTTAACTTTGGATTAGAAAGATACTCCCCTTAATAAGTACCCCTTTTTATAAGGGAAAACGGCTTCCTTAGTCCTCTATTCTTCTTCCAGTGAAAAAATCTTTTTCAGCGCTTGTCAGTTTACAATGAGAAATGTGGATCCAAGATTTAACTTCTGCGACTTTAACAGCTGAATTAGTGGTTAATAACACTTGACAAGGTCCTTTCCACCTTGGTTGCAACGCGTGCTTTCGTGAATGGTCTTTTATCATAACATAATCTCCAGGAGCGATGGCATGCAAAGGTTGGTATTCACTTGTTCACTGTACAGCTTTTACCTGCATATAGAGAGACTAATCGTTTTGTTAGCTACATGCAATACATCATTACTAAATCATCATTTATCTCATGAGAATAACATTTTATAGGTACCCCTCCTGTGAACATTGGTCTTCCAATTAGAATTTCATGAGGGGATAACCCTGCTTTCAAACTAGAGAGAATCTCATAGACATTAAGGCAAGAGGAAGTGCATTAAGCCACTTTAACTTTCTCTGCTGCAATTTTTGCAATTTTGTTTTTCAATGTTCCATTGGCCCTTTCTACTGCTCCTTCTGACTGAGGATGATGAGAGCAATGTAAATGATAAGGGATTTGCTAAATTTTTGCTATCTGTTGCACTATTTTTCCTGTGAAATGTGTTCCCTGATCTGAGTAAATGTGCCGAGGCAATCCATAGCTGGGTATAAATTCTTGTAACAATTTCTTAAACATTGTAGACATATCGGCATGGCAACAAGGATAAGCCTCGATCCAACCTGAGAATGTATCTAATATTACTAGCACATACCGATACTGCATTACCTTTAGTAATTCAATGAAATCCATTTGTAAATTTACAAATGGACCTCATGAACAGGGAGGATGATTTAGGTCTCTGACCTGCATTGTATTGTAAACAAATAACACATGAAGAACACACCAGTGCCAATACAGATTCTAGGCCCAGCCTTGACCATTCAGAATTAAACAATGATGGCAATGCTGGTCTTCCACTAAATATACACTCTCCCCACCAAAATCACTTACTTCTTCTTCCCTCAGTATCACATACAATCCCTTTACTTTCAAATGTACCATAGGTTCTGGACCTTGGGTCACAGGTACACTAACAATACATATTCAGACCCCAATCTTCCTCTACATCTAGTCTGTCTTTTTCTTCTAATTGCTTTCTTGCCCCCTTTACCTCCTTGCAATCTGTTGCTATATGACCATATCCATCACAATTGAAACATTTGATAAATGTTCTTACATTATTCTGTGGGGGTCTTCTGGCTATGTTTTGTCTTGGCTGATGTGCATAATATATAACAGGAATTTGTTCAGCTTGTAGCATTATGTGCTCAGCTTTTGCATTTTCCTTGATTTGAATAGCTTGTCAAATTTCTGATGCTGCACTTAATACAATATTAAGTGATTTATCCCGTCATCCCAGTAAGGATAACATCAATTGTTTTTTTTTACTTTAGCATCCAAACCATTTACTAAGGTATTCACTATGAACGGCTTAATTGATTAATTTGTGATATCTTCAAAACTTCCAAAAACCTTAATTGCTTCCGCATATTCATAGGGGTTTTCTCCTTTCTTTTGCACTATGCTATGTATAGTCAATAGGCTGGGTGAAAACTGTTTTTACTTTAATGCTGAGGAATGCATACCAATTCTTAAGGACAACATCACTCCTCTCATCAGGGCAATTTTCCCATATGTGTGCAACTGCTTGTCCCCCCACCCCTGCAGACCATGAGAAAGGTGATTCGTTATATCCTGCCACCCATTTAGTATGTTCTGTAGGGGTTAATACTGTCTCCATTACCTCATTAAGATCTTAGGTTGTGGGGAAATAGCTGGCACACATTATTTTTAAATGTTTTACAAACCCATTTGGATCTAGAGGGGGCAGGAAATGATACCTGTAAAAATGCTATGTCTTGTGGGCTCCACGGTTGACAAATCCTCCGTGGTCTCCCATCATTATCCATCTGTCCCACTTCTCTAATAGGTAAAATCATAGCCTCACTCCCATCACTCTCAGGCAACACATTTCTACATCCTGATAAACCTGATAGTAACCACAGCATGATCAGCAAATCTTTTAGGCAGTCTAATATCCCTCTCAGGTCTACCACCTCAATGCAACATGGCTGAGGCACCAGCTAAATTTTGGGGTACAAGCTGTGGTGCATCATTCATCTGCTGAGGGGCGGTGACCCAAAGAGGGATTCATAATCTCATGATTAATCAAAAAATCCTCATCATCATTATAAGGCGGAGGATTTTTAACATTTCTTTTTAAATTGTACAGTGAGGGATACAAACAGGCAACACCAGTACCCTCTCCTTTACATGCCCCTCCTGTTGCACCAGACTGGGGGGGAACATTCTTGCTTTTTCTTTTCAATTTCCTCATGCCATAACATATATGCAGACCATTCCAGTTTTGAAAGACTTTTTTCATTTAACAACATTGTTCTTAAACTTAACAACACCCAAGGGTCTAATGACCCCACCACTGGCCATGGATTTATATTATTCTTAGTTAACTTTGCCCATTTCTTTGAATACATAATATTTGATGGGCCATATTTCTGTTTCATTAAATAAACTGGGGAATCACTGGGTATACTATCCCCATGATCAAGCTGCTTGCCATGATTCAACCTCATTTCTGTTACTTGTACTTTTACACACCACTATATCACCTTTTGAGAGATCGAAAGGTCACAATTTTCAGTCTGTATACTGACTGACAACTGGAGTTTACACAAAAATCTCTTCTCAAATGATGTCACAGTTTATCAAAATTTAAACCATATACACACAGTTATACAATTTTAACACAATACATCTTACTCAAGTGCTATGTTTAACCTATGAGTTTAAACAGTTAATACAAGACAACTTAATTTCACCTTGCTACGTTTAGACTGGGTGAAATTAAGACACTAAAACAAAATAATCTAATCTCGCTTTGCTACGTTTAGACTTGGGAGATTAGATTCATGTGGCTAGCCAATTAATACAAGACAACTCAATCTCACCTTGCTACGTTTAGACTGGGTGAAATTAAGACACTAAAACAAAATAATCTAATCTCGCTTTGCTACGTTTAGACTTGGGAGATTAGATTCATGTGGCTAACCTCAACATTTAGCCACAATCACATGACAGGGATACATCATATCAAAGAGACTCTCACCAACAGAGCTACGTTTAGACTTCTGAAGGCCCACCAAACCCCTATTGGGTCTGCGAAGTTTAGTCACTTAAGTCTTCCTAGGGGACTACCTGTCAGTGCTACCACTGATTCTAGAATCACTCAGACATAGACACTAATACTGTAGTATATTTTACAACATAAACATAAATAGTAACGTTACAAATGGTCAATAAAAGGCTAAGAAATCAGGTCACACAGACTAGCATTTACCTGCACCGTTCTTTGTTTCATGGACACTCAAAAATTACACTAATGCCATGTTTTATAAATGGTATGGCTTACCTTTTATATGACCGGTCTGTTTGAGTGCCCACGAAATGGTTGGCAGGTGCAGGTGTTCCGCTGGTGTCTGTGGTATTCTGATCCCGGACGAGCCCCCAACTGTGGAAGTAGACAAAAATATTACCAGGTTCAATAAAAAGCGTTTAATTGACCATTACAATACACAGAGATATCTCATGGAGATTGGCAAGAAGCAATCTAACATCATGTTACAATTCCTCATATTTTATACATATGACCCGGAACTGGCCTTGCGTTTAGCTTGAGTCAGAACTCCAAATATGGTCTTATTTCCTATTGGCTAAATTCTAGCATAACTGACAAATTTAAGGTTCAAAAGTTTAAGCATCCCATGATCTTTCTAACAGATAACTTGACCCCAGTCATGCATCTTACTTCCCTAAAATATCGTTTGTCTATGATAAAAGTTAACACATATAAGCCTGACTTCCTCTTTCACAACTTAAGCACACATTTCACCTTTCCCCCCCCTGGCAACATCTGACAAGACACGCTTTCAAAATAACCTTTCCTTTTGCAATCCAAAAAACAGTCCAGACATCCATTTATAAATTGTAGCAATAAAACATAGTTTCTTCTTATTTCTTAGAGTAAATTTTCTTCTTTGATTATATTTTAAGATGATGAATAAACAGCAAAATGGCTGACAGCATGTCAGTAGCAGGTTTCATATGTTCACAGCTATTTTAGCCACAATGACACTGAGGCTAGTGGTGTTGTGGAGAGAGGCACTAAGACTAGTGGTGTTGTAGAGAGAGGCACTGAGGCTAGTGGTGTTGTGGAGAGAGGCACTGAGGCTAGTGGTGTTGTGGAGAGAGGCACTGAGACTAGTGGTGTTGTGGAGACCGGCTTGGAGACTATGGTGAGGCCTAATAGAAAACAGTTGTTGTTGGGTGATTCCATTATAAGAGGTGTGGAGATGGACAATGGTGGTCTTGTGAGGTGTCTTCCCGGAGCTACTGCTCACAGAGACAGGAGACGCATCTGTAATATTGTTAAGCAAGCAAAGCAGGAAGGGGAATTGGATGTACTTGTCCATCTAGGGACAAATGACTTGGCTTGCAATGAGGTTTCAGAGGTAAGGAAGTTTTTAGTGTTTTTGCCAATGATATACGGCAGGTTGCTTCCACACTGTCATTCTCTGAAGTTCTGCCTGTGCATAACACTCAGAACGACAGGCGGATGCGTATTAGGGACTTTAACTTGTGGCTTGGTGAATGGTGTCGGGAGCAAGGATTTGGCTTTATTTCTCATGGTAGCTCTGTTTGGAATGGAGATAAGCTGTACAAAAAAGATGGTTTGCATCTTTCTCAAAAGGGAACAAATGTTCTCAGTGAGCAGTTCAGAGGTTTTGCTAGGATGTATTTAAACTAGGAGGGGGGGGCAAAAGGGTGATAAAACATCAATCCAATTGTCCCCAAAACAAGGACAGAAGGTGCCTGTAGCAAGTGTGTTAAAAAATGATAAGCTTAGAGTCATGTCTACAAATGCTCGCATTTTAGGGAATAAGATCCATGAACTTGTGGCAATAATGGCAACTGATAGTGTAGATTTAGTCGCTGTTACTGAGACATGGTACAATGAGAAAAATGACTGGGACATAGCAATACCAGGGTACTCTTTATATAGGAAAGATAGGGAAGGCAAGAAAGGGGGAGGGGTGGCCTTGTATGTGAAGGATAGCATAAAATCTAGCCTAATAAAAGTTAGTGAGGCAAACATAGAGTCCGTTTGGGCTACGTTAGAATTTGGTAATCACACAGTAACTCGTGTAGGTGTGATTTATAGGCCCCCAGGACAAATTGAAGAGTTAGATAATCTACTAGTTGAGGAAATAGCTAAAATGACAATGAAGGGGGAAGTTATCATCATGGGTGACTTTAATCTTCCTGATGTAAATTGGAAAACAAAATTAGCTACTTGTGCCAGGAGCACACATATTCTAAACTCCCTACTGGGATTGTCTCTAAAACAAGTTGTTGAGGAGCCAACTCGTAAAGAGGCCATACTAGATTTAGTGTTAACAAATGGAGATTTGGTATCAGATGTTACTGTAGGTGAAAGTTTAGGATCCAGTGATCATCAGTCAGTATGGTTTAATATAAGAACAGTGACTGAGTCACACCACACAAAAACAAAAGTTTTAGACTTTAGAAAAACAGACTTTTCTAAAATTAGAATGTGGGTAGAGGAGTCATTATCAGACTGGAGCAATTTAAATGGAGTCCAAGAAAAATGGGATTATTTAAAAGTTGCACTATTGAAGGCAACAGAAAATTGCATTAGGCTTGTCAGTAAAAGCAAAAAATTCAAGAAACCACTGTGGTACTCCGCAGATGTGGCCAAAATAGTTAAAAACAAAAAGTTAGCATTTAGGAATTATAAAAAAAACCAGAGTGAGGAAGACAAAATGATCTATAAGATTAGGCAGAAAGAGGCTAAGCAAGTTATAAGAGCTTCCAAATCACACACAGAAGAGAAAATAGCACAGTCAGTAAAAAAGGGGGATAAAACATTTTTAGATACATAAATGAGAAAAGAAAAGTAAAACAAGGATTAGTTAGATTAAAAACAAAAGAAGGAAGGTATGTAGAAGAGGATAAAGGTCTAGCTGACTGCCTCAATGAATATTTTTGTTCTGTATTTACAGATGAAAATGAAGGAAAGGGACCTCAGTTGAGAAAAAGGATAAATGAGTCATTTATTACACGTGAGTTTACAGAGGAAGAGGTTCTATTTCAACTGTCAAAAGTAAAGACAAATAAGTCAATGGGACCTGATGGAATACACCCAAAGCTATTAAAAGAGCTTAGTGGGGTACTAGCAAAACCATTAACAGATTTATTTAATCAATCATTGTTAACAGGAGTAGTCCCAGAAGATTGGAAGTTAGCGAATGTTGTGCCCATTTACAAGAAAGGTAATAGGGAGGAGTCGGGCAACTATAGGCCAGTAAGCCTTACTTCAGTAGTGGGGAAAGTGATGGAAACCATGTTAAAGGATAGGATTGATGAACATCTAAAAACACATGATTTCAAGATCAAGACAACATGGGTTTACTTCAGGGAGATCATGCCAAACTAATCTTATTGATTTTTTTGATTGGGTAACTAAAATTATGATCAGGGTGGTGCAGTAGACATTGCTTACCTAGATTTCAGTAAGGCTTTTGACACTGTTGCACATAGAAGGCTTATCAATAAACTGCAATCTTTAAGTTTGGATTCCAATATTGTTGAATGGGTAAGGCAGTGGCTGAGTGACAGGCAACAGAGGGTTGTAGTTAATGGAATATATTCGAAGCTTGGACTTGTCACCAGTGGGGTACCTCAGGGATCTGTACTTGGACCCATTCTCTTTAATATTTTTATTAGTGATATTGCAGAAGGTCTTGATGGTAAGGTATGTCTTTTTGCTGATGATACTAAGATATGTAACAGGGTTGATGTTCCAGGAGGGATAAGCCAAATGACAAATGATTTAGGTAAACTAGAAAAATGGTCAGAATTGTGGCAACTGACATTTAATGTGGATAAGTGCAAGATAATGCATCTTGGGCGTAAAAACCCAAGGGCAGAGTACAGAATATTTGATAGAGTCCTAACCTCAACATATGAGGAAAGGGATTTAGGGGTGATTATTTCTGATGACTTAAAGGTAGGCAGACAATGTAATAGAGCAGCAGGAAATGCTAGCAGAATGCTTGGTTGTATAGGGAGAGGTATTAGCAGTAGAAAGAGGGAAGTGCTCATGCCATTATACAGAACACTGGTGAGACCTCACTTGGAGTATTGTACACAGTACTGGAGACCGTATCTTCAGAAGGATATTGATACCTTAGAGAGGGTTCAGAGAAGGGCTACTAAACTGGTTCATGGATTGCGGGATAAAACTTACCAGGAAAGGTTAAAGGATCTTAACATGTATAGCTTGGAGGAAAGACGAGACAGGGGGGATATGATAGAAACATTTAAATATATAAAGGGAATCAACACAGTAAAGGAGGAGACTATATTTAAAAGAAGAAAAACTACCACAACAAGAGGACATAGTCTTAAATTAGAGGGACAAAGGTTTAAAAATAATATCAGGAAGTATTACTTTACTGAGAGGGTAGTGGATGCATGGAATAGCCTTCCAGCTGAAGTGGTAGAGGTTAACACAGTAAAGGAGTTTAAGCATGCGTGGGATAGGCATAAGGCTATCCTAACTATAAGATAAGGCTAGGGACTAATGAAAGTATTTAGAAAATTGGGCAGACTAGATGGGCCGAATGGTTCTTATCTGCCGTCACATTCTATGTTTCTATGTTTCTATGACACTGAGGCGATGAACTATATTAAGCTGCCGCATGAATCATTTGATATGTTGACGCTAGAATCTGCAACACCTTTTGGCTGCCGCATACTATTTACACATATTGACTCTAATATTACTTTAGAAGAATTTACCCAATATTGGGTAGGTTACGCAAATCAGCAAAGCACAAAGCGAACATACACTATTGTAGAGAATAGTGGTGCAACCTACTGCTGCACTAACAGCACCCCTGATACCTTTTGGTATTTGCTTTTAAAAATTCAAAGGACATCCATGATGACTTGTTCTGACACCCCTAAATCAGACAGACACCTCTCGCCTTGGGAAGAACACAATCACTTTATTAAGGCAGCAGCTAATGTATATAAGAGCTTAGATTTATATAAGCCTTGTTGGGTGTGTGGCCATACGCCACATGCTCATGACAGAGGGTACCCCTATTTCCCTAAAGTATTGACGAAAAAAGACTTGCTGTACATCATCAGACATAATGTTGGTTTTTACTTTCTAATAAGAAATGACACGAGTGAGGTCCCCAAGATCTTCTTAAGTGAAGATACTAGGGACAGACCAGGTGCAGTTAAGCTACGCATGGGGGAATGGGAATACCCTGACGACTTAGAAGAAGTAGTGACTATTAATGTTTACCAAAAAATACTACACTGACCGTAACTACCAACCGAACGTCCGACCTAGCAGTTATGTAACTACCATGGCATTATCCCCTTTTTACACAGGGTGGAGTTTTGACTATTTTAATGGGACGGAAAATGGTGAGAAAAGAACCGAGGGCAGATGGAAGTATGTCCTAGGAGAAGGCGAGGAAGAGACTATAAGTCGATGGTGGCATAAAATAGTAGGTACAGGAGTGTTTAGTACTTATTTCAAATTTAAACGTTCTAATGTAAGCTGTGTAAATCACCCCATTCCTTCAAGAGGATTTTATTGGCTTTGTGGGAGATGGGCTTATAAAAATCTCCCATGTAAAATGAAAATTGATTGTACCTTGGGAATGGTGATGCCCGCCATTTACCCTACTAAAACTTTACCTGAAAACACCCATCATCATTGGCAAAAGCGAGACACCGATTTATCAGGATTTAAAATGGACAGAAACATGCAGTTTTGGGTCTCTCTCTTTCCAATGGTGGGGGTGGGAATGATGATAACTAATTTAAATCTTTTAATTGATACTATTGATGATGCCTTTAATAGCACAGGACTTGCTATCAGTTTGCTTAATTATGAGCAAGAACAGATTAGACAGGTAGCTTTGCAGAACAGAATAGCCTTAGATTACTTGCTTGCAGCAGAAGGAGGAGTATGTAAAAGAATAGGAGGCAAGGCATGTTGTGTGTGGATAAAAGATAAATCAGGGAAAGTTAAGCATGAGCTTCAGCATTTAGAAGAGATACAAAAATGCTTTAGGAAACCACTAACCACAGACGACTTAGAACACTGGCTAACTAATACTACACGTGACTTTGACTGGACATTTGGTATAGGATCATGGATAGGAGGACTTGGGATGAAAATATTAAAGGGAATTGTGTGGTGTGTTTTTATTATACTTTGTATTTACCTATGCTACAAACTTACCATTTGCTGCATTCAAAGAGTGGCTACATGTAAAACAAATGCCAGGATAGACTTAGAAGAGTGACAAATGTTTTTATAGATAGACTAGATGCCCTTAATATTAGAGATAAGCGGGAAGAGGCATGTCCTACGGGTGACCCTCGACTCGAAGAGCTTTATTGCATGAATTGGTTCCAGGCGTGAATGGGACAATATGGGGATCAGTGGGAAAATGGGCTTGCCCCCTGCTGATAACCTGAATGGTACGCGTAAATGTGTAAGGTTTTGCTCACTTAGTGATCAAGGGATGGAATGTGATAATTGTGATAAAATCCAATTAACTAATTAAGAATGATTAATTGATCACTAATGAGCAAATTAATCTATCATAGTTAAGATGGCACTTGGCTTAAACTGTGTCGCACTAAGAAATTCAACTTGTGTCACACTAAGAAATTCAGCTATGATGACATTGCATAAAATGCTTAAACTGTGTCGCACTAAGAAATTCAACATTGCCTGGAATATTCCATAGCATGTCTGGCCAATATCCAAAAAGGCCCACGTGCTGAACAGAGGGAATTGGTGCCAACAAATGTATGGAGAGATAAGAGTAGGGACATAGACAGAATAAGATACCGCACGTATCTGGCATGAGCCTTGGGTGGTCACGACTGGCCTGATCAACCATACTGATGACCTAATGCGCATGACAAGATACATGCTGGGCTGCACTGATAAGAAATCTTGGAAAAGTTACAAACTTGCTAAAAGGTATAAAAGACGGAGAAACTTGGCACTCACTTGGAGAACTACCCACCTGTAATGCGGACGCCTGTTGCTGGTCTCTGCTGTTCCCAGAGAGGGTCCCTCCATGCCGACTGCCAGAGTTCCCCCAGTCATGTGCAGTGAGGACACAACGAAACCCCTCTAATGGTGATGTATACTTAAGTTGATATATCTAGATACTAAGCTGTTTTGAAGTGAATGCATGCAACTACTTAATGAGAGTTAAAGGACCACTATAGTGCCAGGAAAACATACTCATTTTCCTGGCACTATAGTGCCCTGAGGGTGCCCCCACCCTCAGGGTCCCCCTCCCGCCCGGCTCTGGAAGGGGGAAAGGGGTAAAAACTTACCTTTTTCCAGCGCTGGGCGGAGAGCTCTCCTCCTCCTCTCCGCCTCTGTTACGCCCGCCGGCTGAATGCGCCGCGCGACAAGAGCTGCGCGCGCATTCAGCCGGTCTCATAGGAAAGCATTTACAATGCTTTCCTATGGACGCTGGCGTGCTCTCACTGTGATTTTCACAGTGAGAAGTAGCGCCTCTAGTGGCTGTCAATGAGACAGCCACTAGAGGAATAGGGGAAACTTAACCCATTCATAATTATAGCAGTTTCTCTGAAACTGCTATAATTATGAAAAAATGGGTTAACCCTAGAAGGACCTGGCACCCAGACCACTTCATTAAGCTGAAGTGGTCTGGGTGCCTAGAGTGGTCCTTTAAGCTTACTCTGTATTGGGTCCCCTTGTGGACAATAAAGTGTGGTGTGAATTCTTATCTGCAACTTGGTCTCTGTGTGGTTTCTTTTTCCTATAGCCCAAGACACTCATCTCGAACTGGGTTGTGTGCCCGCCAATATCGTTATAAACCTTATTAGGTAATTGATTATTGCTTTTTGGATATTGGTGCTTCATGAATTTAATGATTAGGCACAACACTGGGTTAGCGATCTCTAAGCCATTGCTTCCTTTGCTGGTCCATGCCATTGTAAAAGTGCTCTACAAGAAATAATTGTAGTACCTCCTCAGCCATTACTGCTTGGCACCCTTGGATCCAGTGGGTAGCCGCTCTCCGCATCCTATGTGCCCACTCGGTGTGAGTATCATTCGGCTTTTTCTTGGTGTTTCGGAATTGTCTACAATACGTGTCTGGGGTGACAGCGTATCGCTGCAGCAAGGTGTCCTTAACCCGCACATACTGGGTCACTTCCTCTGGGGATAATGTCCGAAATGCATCCAATGCTTGCCTGGATAGCTTACCAGACAATATGGTGGGCCAATCCTCGCTGGGGATCTGGTGTAGCGCACATTGCCGCTCGAAGTCTGCTAAATACTCATCTATCCCCATCTCATTCTCTAGGAATGATCTGAAAGCCACATAAGGGATCTTTCGCCTCCCGGTCGTTTCTGCAGGGATGATCTTCGTGGTTGTTGCGGACCCCTGTTGGGATGTGAGTATGCTGAGTTTGTGGGCTCTGGCGGCCTCTATCTCTGCATCTACCTGAGCCATTATTTTCTGTATCAACTCCATAGAGGGATTTGGCCCGCAAAAGGAGAGCCTCTCCCGAACAATCCTGGTCTTTTCGTCACTATCCATCATTGGGGTTTCTGCCATGGTGAAGCTCTGATCCAGCTCTGTCAATTCCGCAATCAGCTCCCTCCTAGGGCGTTTTCTCGGCTCTCCAGCAGATCCTTTAAGGTGGTGCGCTTCAGCTTGTCGTTAGCGTTCTCCATCTGCTCTGTGACTCTCCTAGGAACTCCAGGACAATCCCACTGCTAACACCAAATGTTACGGTTGCTCTAGGTTGGCTGGAGGTTAAACCGCTTGTATATCCTGGTTCCCGAACTTGGAGAGTAAGAGCGCCGCTCTGATCAGCATGCAGTATTATTTCCTGAAAATGTAAAACATCCCATTAGCTATAGCAAAGCTAGGATACACCTTTTCCTACAACACGAGTCAAGGCTGCGCGTTGAGGGTAAAACTAACTGGCTTTAAAGGGTATACATGTACGGCTTAAATACAGGTTCTCAGTTCAGGGGAACACCCACCTGGACCTCATAGTACACACGACAATACAGTGTCACAGCCAATAGGGACAAAGTGCATTTTACTAAACACTCTACCCCTACCCTGGAGATAACGGTTAAAGTAACTCAATTATCTCCAGGTACATGAAATACCCACGTTTTATTACACACAGGAAAACCGGATAAAAATACATAACTTTTATATTATAATACGAATAGAACACTCCTTCTGTTCCATCAGGGTAAGGATGCAAACCTATCTTTCAGGTACTATACCTTTAATACAATATTGAGGCATCACACCTATTGGTATCTAGTTTACTTATTAATTAGTCTTATCCCTGTTCTCCACCTAACACTAAGAATATCACTTTTTAGTAACAGAGAAACATAGAATGTGACGGCAGATAAGAACCATTCGGCCCATCTAGTCTGCCCAGTTTTCTAAATACTTTCATTAGTCCCTACCTAGCCTTATCTTATAGTTAGGATAGCCTTATGCCTATCCCACGCATGCTTAAACTCCTTTACTGTGTTAACCTCTACCACTTCAGCTGGAAGGCTATTCCATGCATCCACTACCCTCTCAGTAAAGTAATACTTCCTGATATTATTTTTAAACCTTTGTCCTTCTAATTTAAGACTGTCCTCTTGTTGTGGTAGTTTTTCTTCTTTTAAATATAGTCTCCTCCTTTACTGTGTTGATTCCATGCTGTTGATTCCCTTTATATATTTAAATGCTTCTATCATATCCCCCCCATCATAGTACAAGCATTAGTATATCTAAGTTTTACGCTGTTCTCTGCTTTTTAATTACCCTTAATGGACCTGTTGTGCATTGCTTCAATCACACACGTTATAATAATGACTGTGAAACATCCTATGATCGCAGTGGAACACATGGATGCGTTCCAATACAAGGAAGATGACGTATGCGTTCCACCGATGGAATGCAAAACCTGGAAGCGGAAGTCCAACACAAAAGGACGCCAGTTAGAAACCACCAATTATGGACCATTTAAAAGGATATCCACGGACAGCACATTACAGCAGCAACTGAGGAAGCCTCAGAGCGAGGCGAAATGCGTTTCGCACTATTAAGAACTTTACCGAGGAGTTACCTTCGAATTGTAAGGTCTTAACTTTACTAATTTTATTTTAATACCTTTTGTGCACTTTATAATAAAGCACTTTATATTTACCCCTACTACTGAGAGGAAATCCTATTATTTGAGACCGCCTACCAGCATAAAGAAGGAAGTGGGAACCTCTAAATCCCACAGAGCTTTAAGTTTGAGCCCTATCCATTGGCTCCACGCTTGTGAGTGCACTTCAATTTACTATTTGCACTTTATTCTATCAGATTGGCAATATTGCACTATTGTTTGTCTTTGTATATTTCATTTTCAGGACAATACTCGTCTTAGAACTGCTTTGAACCAAATAGCAAGATATTCCACCTTATATTGTATGTATATGTTGTGAGCGAAAAAGTGGTTGATGGAAGAAACATCAGGCCTGATTTGCTAAACAGCAGCCAGAGAATTTTCAGTTAAATGCCCCAGGGAGAGATGTTAAAGTTTGCCATATACATTGCTGATGCTCTGCAAAACACGGGAAGGGTCCCTGGGGCGGAGTATTTGGAGAGCAGGGTGGGCCAATGCTCCAACAGCAATAGTTGCTGTGTAACAGACCAGAATTTAACTAATTGGCACTCACCTGGTCAATTAGCAGACAGGCCTTTAAAAGAAGAGATCAGCTTGCTGCAGAGGGAGAAAAAGACAGCTAGGAGAGCTGAAGGAGAGAGAACAACAATTGTGTTTATTGCAAAGCTATTTTTGTTTTGTTTTTTTTAAAATTGCTAAATGGGAAAGCCACCCAATTACAGATAGTGATTTCTGTCTAGTAAGAGCTCAAGTAAGAGCAAGGAATTTTGTTTTGTGTATTATTATTTAAAGCAGCTGTTTTTCCTATCAAATAAAAAAAAAGGAAAAACTGAATGTGTCCTGGACTTTGTATACCCTAGAAGGCTGTGGTTTATTGTACGATCTGTGACAAAATCCTACCTGTAAAAGAGGTGGTTTGTTACAATGTCTGTTTGCTGTGAGATTTCAGGGAAACTCACTAAAGTGTTAGAGTATCTACCATTACTTGCATTACTCACTGGGATACTGTCACTATTCACTATTGTAACTTACTTTACTACCCTATCCTTACCTTTTGTGTCACTATACCCCACTCCATCTAACACCCCTATGTTCATGTGCATCCAACTCTTCTGGTTACTAATATGTGTCTGTTAGTCCACCCATTGAACAGCTCTGCAGAATTTGTTGGTGTAGCGGATAGCTAATGTCCCACAGCTTAACCCCACTCATATATTAGAAGAATGCAGGAACAAGTAATAAATCCAAGAGAGTATCCAGCACAATCAGCAATAAAATCTAAAGTATCCCATCACCCTTCCCAATCACTGGACGACACACAGTATCAGGAG